TCGTTACTTTAATAAGACTTCAGTATAACGAGATGATCTACAAAAATTAGCCAATCACAATATATGTTCGCTATGCTCTCTTATATAAATTATCAGAGATTTCAAACAATAATCTATTGGATACATTTATAGGTTTACTAGTATACATATCATTCGGATGTTTTGGCGATTTAATGTTGGGTTTAATTTTATCAGCTTCTAAAAATGGTTCTTTTATTTCATTTTCATCACCAGAGCTTTCAATTTCCTCAATCCAATGAGTAATAAATGCATTAATAGATCGGATAGTAGGTCGATTTTTCGTATTTAAATCCATATATCGTTTGGCTAATTTAATATAGCAATTAGGTGTACCAGATGTAAATTCTGGTCTTAATCCATGGCAAATTTCTATCGCAAGCTCATTAAAATTATAACAACCATCGAAAGCTTTTCTTCCAGTCGATATTTCCGTCATAATGATGCCTAATGCATAAATATCAACTGCTTGTGTATATGGTTTTCCTTGCAAAATCTCTGGAGCAATATAGGGCAAAACTCCGAATATTTCTTTTTTTGCATTAGAGAGCCCCAAATCTGTAATATATGCATTATCTGATTCGTCTTGCAGAATGTTTCCAGTCAGTATGAAGATTTCGATGTTCTAATCCTTGAGAATTAATTGCTTCAAGATCTGATGTTATGCAACTTAGTAAATTTAACATTTTTCCCACATCATTTGTGATACTTCGTGGAGATTATTACATAGAGAACCCTTCTTGGCATATTTCAAAATAAGAATATAATTTCCTGAATTATCTTTTAATAGTCCGTAGCATTTTAAGACGATGAATTTTTATATCTGATCTCGCAAAATGCTTTCAACTTTTTTTTTAAAAAAAAAGGTAATAGTTGATCATAAGCTCAAATATTAACCAAGTTTAATAAATTTACCTCGTTGAAAAAATCCTGATTATAAATTTTTAATAGTGAACGAATATTTATCATAAGAATCCTTGTATCTAATTAGAAATTTGACATGATAAACAGTTGCAAATCCACCCTTCCCAATTTCTTTAATGTCTTCAAATTTATTGTATGGAATCCATAATAATTGATATCTCTCATCATCCAATATTTTCTTCACATTGTCTTCAATATCAAAATAAGAAAATTTCTCTATTTCTATTTATTATCAAAGCCATAAATATCAAAATTCGCAAAATGACGCAAAATAAAAAAAATACCTTGAAATTTATTTTTTCCCTGTATTTACAATTATTGAAAACTTAGTATCCTATATAAAAATTTTTTTTAAAAAATGGAAATTACATTCGAAAACAATGTTCAGCCTCTTTTAAACCTTTTTTGTTCCAATACCATTTCGATAACAATCTCCAGAATTTATTATTCCATCAACTAGATCAAGTTCGGCAGATTTCAAGTACAATTCAAAAGCTTTTTTAAATCCTTTTTAACTCCGGTTCCATTTTGATAACATTCTCCAAGGTTATAAATTGATCAAACATTTCCCATTTCGGCAGCTTTCTGATAATAAAAAATGCTTTATTTCATCTTTTTTAACCTCTTCACCAAGTAGATAATAATTCGCAACACTATTCATTCCATTATGGCTTCCCATATCTGCAGATTTTTGATAATAACCGAATGCATTATGTTCATCCTTTTCAATTCCAACTCCATTATAATAACAATATCAAACTTGAAATATTCCATCAGCATTCCCCATCTCAGCAGATTTTTGATAATAAATGAATGCCTTGTGCTCGTCTTTTTTTTAACTCCAATTCCTTTTTCATAACAATGTCCAACATTATTAGATCCAAGAGCACTTCCCATCTCTGCAGATATTTGATAATAAGTAAAACCCTTATGTTCGTCCTTTTCAACTCCAATTCCATTAAAATAACAATATCCAACTTGATAAGTTCCATCGGCGTCCCCCAACTCTGCAGATTTTTGATGCTTTATGTTCATCTTTCTCAACTCCAAATCCATTAAAATAACAATATCCAACTTAATATGCACCATCGGCACTTCCCATGTCTGCAGATTTTTGATAACAAATGAGTGCTTCATGTTCATCTCTTTCAACGCCAATTCCGTTAAAATAACAATATCCAGCTTGAAATGTTCCATCAGCGTTCTCCATCTCTGCAGATTTTCGATAATAAAATGCCTTATTTCATACTTTTCAACTCCTATCCCATGATGATAATTATATCTATGGTCATAAGGGTCAAATCAGTTAACTTTTATAACGAAATGAACTAATATAATAAATTTAAGAACAATGCTTTGAGAGATAATATTCTTTCCTAGATTTACCGGTTTAGGGAATTTTTGAAAATTCAAAGGCCGTCTTGTGTAAATAACCTGCGGATGTTTCCGGTAATTAATTTTTGCTGGAATGACTTGATCATATATTGACAAAATTTTTACTGTGTCTTTAATTTCTTTAATTTGTTTATATAATTCACTTCGTATATTACCATAAAATTATCTCAACCCTTCAGACAGTTCTTTAGCAGTTTGTCTATTATAAGAATCAGCATCTAAACATTTGTTCATCAATTCTAAAAGCAGTCTGGGAACCTCGCATCTAATTTCAGGTCTGAGGTCATTACAGATTTTATTTGCAAGGTCTAAGTCATGGGGAACATCATAATATGGAGGATATCCAGTAAAAACTCTGACATAATTATTCCGAAAGAATAAATATCTGATTTTTGCGTGTATTGCTTTCCATTTATATATAATGATTCATTATATTTAATATCTAACAATTTTTCGAGACTTCCCTGCTTTACGAACTCTATAACCAACATGTATTTACCATCCTTTGGATTCTTGGTTATTCCAAAAATTACAATTGCAGAATCGCCACAATATTTATGTTGATTTTTAACCTAAACTATTAATTAGAATAAATATGATTACTACATTTTAATAATAATAAATTATAATACCTACTTCTTCTAAAAGTTCTTGTTTTATATCCTTAGAATTATCAAGACCCTTTAAACAAACACCTATTTGTGCTTCTCGCTTCCATGCATTCCTTTTATACCCACACTCCGAATATTTGCTCGAACAATTACAGCTTTATAGTCATTAGGATCTTTAATTAAAAAATTTTAATAAATTAAATAGCTATGATAATACTCTTTCACTTTCATATTACCTATATAACCCACTTTGAATCCACTTGAATCTATGTCAATAAATGATGATTTATTTTCAATATCCCATGCAGTCGGTAAAACAATATCATTGTACGAAGTCATTAATTCTAAATCTCCCATTTTTGTGGGTTAGAATTCAATTCAGATCTTTTGTTAACGAACGGTGAACATACAAAAGTAATTTAGAAACTAATGAACACAATGTATATGTATGCGTGTTTGTATTCTGTACTAGTGTTACAAGCTAAACGGTAAATATATATCAGGAACAGAGTAACAGGTAGAGTTGGACAAATTAAAGTTTTTTCAAATTTCACACGCATTATGCGCATGAACTTTTGTCCCGCATTACGCTCATTAATCAAAAGATCAATTTTATCATGAAACATACCAGATTTTCTTTTTTGAAAAGTTAATTTTTAGTCAAATTACAATTTTTAATACTATCTAGATACGCTACAGAACTTTTGATAGCCATAAATGATTTTTATTATAGTTCTATTATATCCTAATTCTAATAATACAATTTTCATATAAAACTTTTACCCATTTCCCTGCTTATTTGCAGAAGGTTTCATATTCTATGACAGCTAAAATTTTCCAAGAATCGAATCGATAAGTTACATAAGTTACCTAGTTGAAAAAACTTATTGATTTGATCATCAACAATTTTTTAAGAGCCTCCAGAATTTATGAACAGCTAAAAAATCAAAGCTTATAGTGCAAATCATTTATAGAATAATGACTAGAACTGTTTAACTAGAGATGTTAAACTGTTACCACGTAAATCATATGAAAAATGATCTACGTTCACCCTACCCTTAATATTGCAAAAAATCTAATCCAATAAGCATTCCTGATTTCTGTCAACGACATCGTACTATTATTTTTTTTTATAGTTTTAATTAAAAACTTTGGTGCTAATTAAAATTTTTGTATCACTTTTTATTGATTTAAATTCATTGCTGAGTATATCGCTTACACACTATCTCTAATGATATAAAAGCATATTTGATATTGCATAATAAATCTACAAAAAAATAACCTTTGTAATGATCAAAGTTCGTAAGTGATTATTATTGTTATTATAAGAAATTGATTGGCTGATTTTAAACCGACTAATTCAAAAACTATCGATTTTTTTTTTTTATTTGCCAGGATCACTAGTCAATTCCAGACTTTCTCCAAACTGGTATATTTGAGACCGGAAAGAGCGGATTGCAGTATGTTTCGAAAATTTTGTCTAGTTTAATGTTTACTTAATTAAATATTTGAATTAGAGCCATTTTGATGTTAGAGTTAGAAGGGGATATAGGTAAAATGGAACAACAAAATATCTATAGGCAAGGTTTACTAAAAATTCTTAACAAATGGGCTTGGTCCTGGAAAAAGAGACGAACGAATTTGAAAAAAATATTATTTACAAAAAATTATCTCGCGAACAATTGCACATAATCACATGATTTTGGTACCATTCGAATGGCCCAAAACATCGTGATTTTGATCGACAGTCTGCGAGATAATTAACTTTTTGTGAAGATTTTTTTTTGTCCCTTTTTCCAACACCAAGCCCAAATTACTAAAAATTAAAGGATCTGCAAAAATAATCGAAAATACGCACGTTTTTGGTTAAAATTGTTTTTTGTAGTTCTTGCATTTTTTCTCTTGTTTTTTTTTGTTTATTTTCGTCGGGCGATCACGATTAGTAATTAAAGTTTCATAATTCGATTGGTCAATCACCTGTTGATCATCAAAAAACTTATTCCAACCCCCATATATAGTTGGTTCATCTTCATTTGGATAATTTGTTTCGTTCTCATCATAATCTAAAATTTTCCTACCCCCATATATAGTTGCTTCATCTTCGACTAAAATTTCCCTAACCCCATATGTAGTTGGTATTTCCCTCTCTCCATATACAATTGGTTCATATTCTTCCTCTAAAATTCCCCTATCCCAATGTATAGTTGAGCCATATTCTTCCTCTAAAATTTCCCTACCCCCATATATAGTTGGTACATCTTCCTCTAAAATATTATCTTCAAATGTTGTAATTTCATTATCTCTTAACGGCAATTTGGTATTTGAAGTTATGCGAGGAGGTAAAATAGTCGAAGTAATAGCCTTATTTGGAGCTACAAATTTTGTCATAAGATCTTTCCACATATTAGGCTCAATGATTCGTTGGTATGGGTATAACTTTTCAATAATATCTTCACCAGCAATTTGAAAATATCGAATATGGGGTAAGCAATTTTTGAGAGTAGCCTTTAAAGTTGAGAATTTTGAATCAGACCATTGTGCAGGATTGGAGTCCAAACCGGGGTTTTGAGCAATTCCCCATCTAATAACTTGATCCCAAAATTTTCCTTCATCCATTTGTAAGTTGTCAAGTTTCAAAAGAGAGACCAAGGCCTTTTCTGAAAGATTTCCAAAATCTTCAGAGTCAAAAACTATACTTGGGTGTCTAGCAATAATATCATTACAAAACTCTTGCAATATTTTAAAGCTATCACTTTCAAAGCATATTTTATAAACTTTAGCAAAATTCAGACGTATCCACGAAGCATGATTCATAACCAATTGTGCTTGTGCGGAACTGACTAATTCTTCAAGATCAAATTCATTAGCAGTAGACAAAAGGCCTAGAATTGTAGACGCATCGATTCTGTCGAATAAAACCAAACCACCATAGATATATCTATATAATTTAAAAAGGAAAACGTTTAATAGTCATTATAAATTTAAATTAAAATATACTTGATAACATCATTATAGTTTACTTAATAATAACTTCGAAAATATTGGCAGAAATATGCGATAGACTGATTTTTTTAACATTCTTTTTGTCGTAACTTGTCTTAGTCAACTTTTTACGAAGATAAGAACATCGAGAATTCAAAATAATTGAATGTGCCTTAAAGATTTGACGATCATGTGTTTGGCCAACTTCAATTGTTACATTATAATCTTCGCTACTTTCAAGAATATTTGTTAAATCGCTAGAAAGTTTCTTAAAGAATTCTGTAGTCATTTAAGCAACAAAGAGCTAAAAATGATTTAATTTTAACACTTTTCCTTTTCTAGTCTAACTAAATTAGTATCGTGATTTTTAAAACCCAACGTATCGGTATGAAGTAGCATTGTTACAAATTTGGTAATGAGTAATTGTTACATCATTTTCGCGTGAAGAATTTCATTCGGTAATGACAACATTGTTGTATAAGATACGTAATAAAAAAAACAATGAGTATTTTTATATTATTTATATTTATAATATTCTTAACCTACCCTCTCACGACTCACGTGCCCTATAATCAAGGCACCCCTAAAATTTCTTAACAAACTGCAAATATTAATATGTAAATGTAATCAATACATACTTAATAAAGCGCCATCTGCGCGCCTTTTAGTTATACGTACATCAAAAAAAAAAAACTTCTTAACCAAAAACATAAATCACGTTATTATATCTTAAAAAACCAATATCGTCCGGATATGAATTAATAGTAACGGCGGAGGGTTCACTAACCGCTAATACTCAACGTCTCGTTGCCTGTTCTCATCAACAACTTCCACCACCCGAAACATTTCTTCATGATACGTCTTAATTATTTTGAACAACTGGAATAGCTTCATAAAGAGCTGTATTACCGAAAACATCGAGTAGGTTGAGACATTATTTCGCAATGCATATTGTCAATCTTTTTATTATTATTTTCAAAGTCATTAAAAGCGAAAAATTATAAGATGAATCGTGAGAAAAAAATCAGATAATATTTGAAATAGATAACAATCATGCAAGCCATGTGGCTGTTCACATATTAAAATGTATTGATCTGCAATCCGCATAAGATATAGTTATCATGTGAAATTATACGAGTACAGTGGTTGTGTAAAAAATGTATGGACGTTAAGGTAAGATCGTTTTCACGGAATGTATGAAAGTCTGGAAACTACTGATGCCAAGAGCATCTACTGGCTTGAATATTACTATAATTCTATATCGATGTTGAGAAGGACAAGTACAAGGCCTTCGTATACGTATTATTAAAAGCCAGCAGATATGAATCATCCTCGAGCATATATCAAGTGAGTTACTATTATTTTTTTGGGTATTAATTGAGAGAAATAACCAAAATGCATTCGATATTACCTGAGATCGCCGAGCAAACAAAATTTGATTACAAACTTATCCAATATTCTGGTAACCATAATATGTAATTAAATTTGAGTTAATTTGTATTGAAATATTATAATTTTTATTGTGGTTTTGTAAATAATTCTGTTATGAAACTTACTATTCTAATACTATAATATGTGGTTAAAATGAATTTGTTTTGCATTGGAATTGTCACGATTTCTATTGTGAGTTACTATAAACTATTTTGTTACAACCTTGCTATTCCATTGACAACAATATGTGGTTAAGGCGAGTTAGTTTGTATTAGAATTGAGCTACTTAATAAATTTTATTACAGTATTTACTCGCTATTCTGGTGTTTACATTATGTGGTTAAAATAAAATAGGTTGCTTTGAAATAATCATGAATTACTATAAAAAAATCTATTATAGAAATTACTATTTGATGATGATAATGCAGCTTAACTCTGAATTAGTTTGCATTGGAAAAGTTATAGTTCTATCATGAGTTACTGTGAATTATTCTGCTACAGACCTTGCTATTCTGATAACCACAAAGTGGTTAAATTACCATTGTGATTAGCATGATTTCTATCATGCACTACTATATTACAGAACTTATTATTTTGACAACAATAATATGTGTTAATATGAGTTAATATATATTGAAACATATAATTACTATCATGAGTAATACTGTTACTAAACTTACTTACTATTTTAGTGATTTCTAGTATTAGTATTGTAAAAATTTGTTGCAAAATCTATTATTATTTTTTTAACATAATCATGTGGTTCATTAATGCATGTTATTAATGTTATCCATATCTCAGTTAATTATATAGAATATATAATGCACAAAAGTCAGTTTTTAAAAATTATAAATAGATAATAGAATTTTGATATTAATATATAGAAGACTGTGATTTTTATAGTTAAGATGTACTGTAACTTGGATGTTTTTGTATTCATAATTTTTACAAAATACTGTATATTATTACTTTAAAGTTTGGTATATATTTAGTAAATATCTAAACATGGTCTTAAGAATATATATCATCTAATTTAGTAATTATGGAAACATAGCTATAATTAGGAATGACCTGAGAGCAAATTGCAATTATTATATAATTATTATATATTTTTAGTATGTATATATTAATTTCAAATAAAGCTTATGTAGCAATGCATATATCTTATTATGAAATTAAAGTTGTTAAATTTAAAAGATTTTATAAACACAACCAAATACAATAAAAATGCTTAGAGTATGTATAAATAATACTAATAATCTGTGCATACAATTCATATAACAAATATAAAATATCTGATAAAAATTTTTAACAAAAATCTTTTCTGCTTAATAAAAAGAAAATTTAGTAGATTACAAGTAAAAGCATAGCTAATAAATAAGATGATCCACATTTAATTATAAACTTTATTAAAAACTAGAATTGTTTATTTTAATTCTAAATGTTTATAAAATAAAAATAAGAAAATTTTATCAGTTGTTTTTATGATATCACTAGTGCTATTTTAGATGCTAGAAATAGCTATATACTTTAATCCAAGCTCTAATTAATTATTATAAACTTCTAATATGTAGTAGTTTATTAATCATGCTATAGCATATAAATACAAGTAAGAAATTCAGTAGTTTTTATAGATAAGTGAATTTGTTTACAAAAAAATTATCCATAAAGGGTATATATATAAGTTTGATATAATTTGCTACTGTTTTTATATTTTTTATATAATTTTTGTAAAATAAATCTTCTAATATCTTATTATTTTGATAAGTTTTTTTTTTATGATCATCTATAAAAACTAATATTTTTTTTTATACTAATAAAAAAAAATTCTAGTATAGAATATTTCCAAAACACTAACTTTAAATTATAGTATTTTAATAATTATTATATTTCAAATAAAATTTCAGTTAAATAAATTTAATGCATCATTTAAATCAGAATCATTATTATTGAAGAAAAATTTTTAAAAACTTATTAATGACAAGTAGCAATTTAGTAAAAAGTTCAAAAAATAATAGCAAAGAAATTTATTTTTTTGTTGGTTTTAATATTTTTTAATTTTATTTTTTTAAAAAAACTACTATATGTTTTAGTATATTATTAAAGCAGTACTAACCAAAACTAAGATTTGAAAAGGATGTATCTCATTCACTATCAGAACAAAGACAATATATATCTCAACTAAAGTAACTATTATTTATAGCAACCAAAAATAGTACTAAAATTCTAAAATTCTAATTGTAGATAAATATATAAAAAATCATACAACCAAATGCTGAAATATTATTAATATTAAAATATAAAATAAAAATTTTAGAATTATTCAATTTTAGATGAATTGTTTTTTCAAGATGAAGAGAATAGTAAAAGATTTGGGCAAGTTGAGTCTACTTACTTAATTGGAGAAATATTCATCTTTAAATTTCATAATAGATTATCAAGAATAATTACTTTATTAAATATTACTTTTAAAAAAAGATAATTTGTATGTTCTAAAGATATATATATATATTTTAATTTCAATTATATTGTTTTGTAGAAAATTTATTTAAAATAATCTTTTTATATAAAATTTAGTTAATGTTTTTTTTTTTTATAAAAATTTTCGAAATTTATTTTTTTGATTTTTTTTTCCAAAGCTATTTTTTTAAAAAAATTTTTTTTAGCTAACAAATAATAATAAATTTATTTACTTTATTTAAAACAAATAGGCAATAATATAATATTTATTTATTTTTATTAACATAACAAAAAATTGTACAAGAAGAGGTGTAGCGACTTAGTGTAGTGGTCTAGTTGTCACCCTCTCCAAGTGGCAGGTCTAGAGTTCAAATTCCACAGATGACAGATTTTGAAAAATAGGCTTGTGTTTCGGTTGATGGCTATGCTTATCAGTTGGATCTAATCTATAACTTTGATCACACCATCTAGTAATAGGAGCAATGGCACAATAAATCTGAGAAACTGGCATA